CCGTCTCCCAAAAAAAAAAAAAAAAAAAACCCATGAGGAGAGTGAAAGCTATGAACAATTACCAGTGGCAACAGCTCTCCTTCCTGTATAACACCTGAGTTTTCTTACTGGAGAAGTTCTCAAAGAGTTACATTCCACCTTTTGGAGTTAAAACAATTTTTGTATATACCTTTTTTGTATTACTTTGACCATGGTCTGACATATACCTTAAGTTAAAGGTTTAAGAGGCCTATAGAAAGGGAGACATGTAAAGAGAATGTAACTTAGGTTCACATTTGTAATTACTACACCTCTTACATAAAACTTGGTGCTGTTGCAACTGATTTGTGGGGTCAGACATAAATAGCAAGTGTTCTTAATCACATATAATCAACCATAAATAAAAATAAACTGAGGCATTACAAAAAAAAAAAAAAATCACTCAAAATTCCCAGATAAGGGCAAGGTGCTTTTTCTCACATCAAAGTCCTGGGTGACACCAGTCACTACACAATGCAGGAGAGAAACAAGTTCCCATCACTAGTTGGTTTTCAGGGCAGTATAGTTAATTGTCAGAATGAATTGAGAACAGAGTCACTGCCAGCAGAACAATGCTTGCAGGCCGGGCGCAGTGGCTCACGCCTGTAATCCCAGTACTCTGGGAGGCCAAGGCAGGTGGATCATGAGGTCAAGAGATCGAGATCATCCTGACCAACATGGTGAAACCCCGTTTCTACCAAAATACAAAAATCAGCTGGGTGTGCTGGCGCGCGCCTGTAGTCCCAGCTACTCGGGAGGCTGAGGCAGAAGAATTGCTTGAACCTGGGAGACAGAGGTTGCCATGAGCCGAGATTGGGCCACTGCACTCCAGCCTGGCGCCTGGTGACAGAACAAGACTCTGTCTCAAAAAAAAAAAAACCAATACTTGCAACAGAGTATAGACCTTAACTCAATGAATAGATTAGGGAGTTCAGCATCAGAGTATTTCCAACCATGACAGTTTGCATTAGTTCTCTGGTAATCAATTTCTAACACATAAAATTTTAAAATGCCAACTGGAAATGTACCTTTAATGTGAAGCATCTGGCAACATCTCTAGAGAACTACAACTCTGAGAAAAGCAAAGTCAAGGGATTTGGAGAATACTCTTAATTTGCAAGCAGAAGAATCAGGAAAAATGGGCTGAAGCAGGTGGCCACACACTGCCCTGTGTGGTTCCTCTAATATGTGACTGATATCTCCCTTGTCTGTACCTATGATATCCATTTTTTTTTTTTGTAGTGCATTTTTTCAAGGTGCTGTTTAATGAAATCTCATTAAGATTGGCTATTGGTGAATTGTATCAGAACCATCTAAATACATCAATTTAATTGTCCCTTCAGAGGTAGCTCTTCTCAACTCAGAAATCAATTATCTCAGAGGTCCTTTCCTACTCTTTTTCTGTGTTTCAAAGGGACTGGGATAATTGAATGTATATTAACAGAATGTATCTCTTCATGTCTCTGACAGGAACTGGAACAAATGAAAGCTTCGCCACACTGTTTGCATTCACATGGTTTCTCTTCAGTGTGTGTCCTTCCATGATTTTGAAGGCTCTTGGCAGATGTGAAGGCTTTCCAACAATTCTTACATTCATATTGCTTCTTTCCAGTGTGCATCCTTCCATGTAAAAGGAAGATAAATTACTAAATGATTTCATATACCCCTTATATTTAGGATTTCTCTGTAGTGTGTCTTTTCATGCATTCAAAGCTCCATGGAAGATATGAAAAATCCTTTCCCACATTGTTTATTCATAGGGCTTTTCACCAGTGTGTGTCCTTTCATGTCTTCGAAGGGCACTAGAAAAACTGAATACCCTCCCACATTCCTTGCATTCATAAGCCTTCTCCCTAGTGTGGATCCTTTTATGATTTAGAAAGGTACCGGAACTGTAGAACCATTTCCCACATTCCTTACATTCATAAGACTTTTTTCCAATATGAGTTAGTTCATGTATTCGAAGGCCACTCCAATAACGATAGACTTTACCACACTGTTTACATTCATAGGGTTTCTCCCCAGTGTGAATCCTTCCATGTATTCGGAGGCTTGAGGCACATCTGAAAGCTCTCCCACATCGCTTACACTCATAGGGTTTCTCTCCAGTATGAGTCATTTCATGATATCGAATGGAACTGGACAAATTGAAGCCTTTGCCACACTGCTTACACTCATAGAGTTTCGCTCCAGTGTGATTCAACTGATGAGATCGAAAAGAAGCAAGAGAAACATAGCCTTTCCCACATTGCTTACACTCATGGGGCTTCTTTCCAGTGTGACTCCTTTGATGACGTTGAAAGGCACTGAAATAAATAAAGGCTTTCCCACATTGCTTGCATTTATGGGGTTTATAGCATTTCTCTCTAGTGTGCGATTTTTCATGTGTTTGGAATGAACGGGGAGAATGAAAGACTTTCCCACATATCTTACATTTATGGGGTCTCTCTCCAGTATACATATTCGTTTGTCTGGGAAAGCTTCTAAGATGAGAAACTCCTTTCCCATGTTGTTTATGTTTACAGTGTTTTTCACCTATGTGTGTCCTTTCATGTCTTCTAAGGGAACTGGAAAAACCAAATACCTTCCCACATTCCTTACATTCATAAGTCTTCACTTTTCTGTGACTCCCTTCATGTTTTTTAAAAGATGTGGGATTATCAAATGTTTTGCCACATTCCTTGCATTCATATGTCTTGATTCTAGTGTGGACCCTTTTATGATTCAGAAAGAAATCAGAACTATAGAATGATTTCCCACGGTCCTTAAATTCATAAGGCTTTTTTCCAATATGAGTTAGTTCATGTATTCGAAGACCACTCCAGTAACGATAGACTTTACCACACTGTTTACATTCATAGGGTTTCTCCCCAGTGTGAGTCCTTCCATGTGTTTGAAGGTGTGAGGGAGATCTGAAAGCTCTCCCACATTGCTTACACTTATAGGGTTTCTCTCCAGTGTGAGTCATTTCATGGTATCGAATGGAACTGGGCAAATTAAAGCCTTTGCCACATTGCTTACACTTATAGCGTTTTGCTCCACTGTGACTCAATACATGATATTGAAAAGCTGTGGAAGAAATATAGACTTTACCACACTGCTTACACTCATAGGGCTTCTCTCCAGTGTGATTCCTTTGATGACGTTGAAAGGGATTGAAATAAATGAAGGCTTTCCCACACTGCTTGCATTTATAGCGTTTTTCTCTAGTGTGAGATCTTTCATGTGTTTGAAATGAACTGTGAGAATGAAAGACTTTTCCACATATCTTACATTTATGAAGTATCTCTCCAGTGTCTATCTTCATGTGTCTAGGAGAGCTTCTACGAAAAAATCCTTTCCCATGTTTTTTATGTTCATAGTGTTTTTCACGTATGTGTGTCCTTTCATGTCTCTGAAGGGAACTGGAAAAACCAAATACCTTCCCACATTGCTCACATTCATAACTCTTCTCTTTTCTGTGACTCCCTTCATGTTTTTGAAAGGCTATGGGATTATCAAATGCTTTCCCACATTCCTTGCATTCATAAGGCTTCTCCCTAGTGTGAATCCTTTTATGATTTAGAAAGGAACCAGAATGGTAGAACGATTTCCCACATTCCTTACATTCATAAGGCTTTTTCCCAATATGAGTTAGTTCATGTATTTGAAGGCCACTCCAATAATGATAAGCTTTACCACACTGTTTACATTCATAGGGTTTCTCCCCAGTGTGAGTCCTTCCATGTATTCGGAGGCTTGAGGCACATCTGAAAGTTTTCCCACATTGCTTACATTCATAGGGTTTCTCTCCAGTGTGAGACATTTCATAGTATCGAATGGAACTGGGCAAATTGAAGCCTTTGCCACACTGCTTACACTCATAGCGTCTTGCTCCAGTGTGACTCAATTGATGGTATCGAAAAGAAGTATAAGAAATATAAGCTTTCCCACATTGTTTCCACGCATATGGTTTCTGTTTAGTGTGAGTTCTTTGATGGTATCGAAAGGTACAGAAACTAATAAAGGCTTTCCCACATTTCTTACATCTATAAAATTTCCTACCAGTGTAAGGCATTTTATGTCTATGATAGAAACCAAAAAAATGGTATGTCTTCCCAGAATCCTTACATAAATGATGCTTCCCTCCTCTGTACATTCTTTCATGTATTTGAAAAGAAGATAAGTTATTAAATGCTTTTTCACATTTCTTACATTCACAAGGTTTCTCTACACTGTGAGTTCTTCCATGCATTTGAAGTTCTGAGGCACATCCAAATGTTTTTCCAGATTGTTTACATTCATAGGGGTTTTTTCCCGAGTGAGCTCTTTTATGTTTATGAAAAGAAATGGGAAAACTAAATGGCTTCCCAGAATCCTTACATTTATAAGGTTTTTCTCCAGTGTGACCAATTAAATGTCTGTGAAAGTGGGGGAGATGGCTGAAGACTTTCTTACAGTATGCACATTTATATGGCTTCTGTCCATATTCCTGATACTTATATGGCTTGTGTCCAGTGTCAGCTCTGGTGTGCTTATTAAGGGATAAACGACCCATGCCAACCTCACACACATTCCTTTCACATGATTCTACTCCAGGAGTTTTCTTCTTCAGCATGTCATCTGGAACCTGGGTCAAAATTTCTCCACGCTGATGACCTTCGCTTTCAAAGAGTCTCTCTTCCATAAGACTTCTGTGAAAAATCAAAAGCACATTTAATCAGTTACTTTATCAGTGATTTTATATTCATTCACAAGTATTACACTTGCATTTTTAACATTGTCCAGCAAAGTGTAGGCTTTCTACCCTGTATGAATTGTTTGAACATGAATGGACCACATGCTCTACACAATGGCCCAGTCATATCTATTATCAAAAAATAGTGATGTGGGGCTTAATACTATTTCCATGTGAACGACTGTACAAATACAAAACCTCTGTTTTTTTTTTTTTTTGAGATGGAGCTTCGCTCTTGTTACCCAGGCTGGAGTGCAATGGTGCGATCTTGGCTCACCGCAACCTCCGCCTCCTGGGTTCAGGCAATTCTCCTGCCTCAGCCTCCTGAGTAGCTGGGACTACAGGCACGCACCACCATGCCCAGCTAATTTTTTGTATTTTTAGTAGAGACGTGGTTTCACCATGTTGACCAGGATGGTCTTGATCTGTTGACCTTGTGAACCACCCACCTCAGCCTCCCAAAGTGCTGGGATTACAGGCATGAGCCACCGCACCCAGCCTACAAAACCTCTTTGTGTTTAATTTTGTTTCTGAGTGAGACTCTTGCCCTGTTTCCCAGGCTACAGTCCAATGATGTCATCATGGCTCAGTGCAGCCTCAAATTCTTGGGCTCAAGCAATCCTCTGGTCTGAACCTCCCAAGGGGCTGATTATAGACATATGTCATGGTGTCCAGCCTATATCACAAATAAATGCAGGTTTTTAGAGAAAATACTCTACGAACAATACATTGGAACTCAGCTTCTTTGTCTGTTTCCTTCTTTTTAATATTTCCTCCCGTTCTAAAATTTTCTAGAGACACTGCTTTGTCTTGTGAATGCAGATTACCTTAGGTTGCTCCTGAAATTTTTGTACTCATTTTCAATGTTCTGGTCTTTCCATTTCTTCCCTGAAATACATACACAGATGCATAGGCCTGAATTAGTATAAAATTATGAAATAATTATTTGATTCTATGTTCATGATACACTGAAACATGCCTCATTTATTCATCAAAGTATTGCCCGTCCATATTCCAAATTAGTCAATAGCAAGGATGAAAGAGAAACACTTCTCTAATTCACTGAGGGAACTAATACTGTCACCCTTACCTATAGAGGCCAGGTTCCTCAAGGTTTCTTGCATCACTTCTTGGTACAGAGTCTTCTGGGAAGGATCCAGCAAAGCCCACTCTTCTGAGGTGAAGTTCACAGCCACATCCTCAAAGGCCAGAGAGTCCTAAAACATCACACATGTACAGAGAAGGATGGGTGAGACTGATAGCACTGGGCATCTATATCCTATTCCTAAGAGGTTCTCACGATGCTGTGGACTCCAAAGATTTCATGACTTGGTCATCAGACGTTACTTTGTGCCTATATTCACTTTCTTCCATAAAGCAATTCTGATGCTACAACTTAACCATGGGGTAAAGCAACAGCAGTACAGGAAAATGTGCAAATTTCTGGTGAATCCATATAGGAAGTTGTGCTGTCTCGGGGTTGCCCCTAATGTCTGTTTGTAGCGTGGGTCTGTAGCACTGCTGCAACAAAGTCCTACGAATTCACATGCAGAAAAAAGTTAACATAAGCAGTCTTGAGGCTGTATATCCTTGAAAATGTCTGTTCCCAAGTTTAAACTTTGATGATAGCTAGAAAGTAGATTTTTGTTCTAATTCCAGTGACAGAAACAAACCAAAAAGTAGATTTTATGAGGGGGTGCATCAATCTAACTGATAAGACAGTTACAAATAACTAAAAAGACAAAAACAAAAATGAAAAAACAAACTTATTAGAAGAAACGATTCTGGGAATTACTGCTTAGGTAGTAAAGCTACATTGTCATTGAATTGCTTAAAGTTGGATGTCAACAAGGTTGAGAGGTAAAAGCCCCAGGGTGCCCAGTTTTGGGTTTTTTTTTTTTTTTTTGAGACAGAGTCTCACTCTGTCGCCCATGTTGGAATGCAGTAGCATGGTCTCAGCTTACTGCAACTTCCACCTCCTGGGTTCAAGTGACTCTCCTGCCTCAGCCTCCCAAGTAGGTGAGATTACAGGTGCCCACCACCAGGGCCCAGCTAATATTTGTATTTTTAGTAGTAATGGGGGTTTCACCATGTTGGCCTGCTTGGTCTCGAACTCTTGACCTTATGATCTGCCCACCTCGGCATCCCAAAGTGCTGAGATTACAGGCGTGAGGCGTTGTGCCTAGGCAGGGCGCCCAATCTCAATGAAAACACAAGCTTTTATCAAACATAAAAACTTTTTTGTGGACAGGCTTGGTGGCTCATGCCTGTAATCCCAGCACTTTTGGAGGTTGGGGAGGGCAAATTACTCGAGGCCAGGAGCTCAAGACCAGCCTGGGCAACATGGTGAAATCCCGTCTCTGCTAAAAATACAAAAATTAGCTGGGCGTGATGGTAGGCACCTGTAATCCCAGCCCCTTGGGAGGTGGAGATTGCAGTGAACCAAGGTCGTGTCACTGCACTCCAGCCTAGGCAAGAGAGCGAGACTCACTGTATTCCAATAACATTTCTCCAAGATACATCCAAATGATCACAAGGCACATTAAAAGGTGCTTAACATCAGGAAATATTAGATGCACTTATTTTTTTGAGTCAGAGTCTCACTCTGTCGCCCAGGCTGGAGTGCAATGGCGTGATCGCAGCTCACTACAACCTCTGCTTCCCAGGTTCAAGCAATTCTCCCTCAGCCTCCCGAGTAGCACCCGCCACTATGCCGGGCTAATTTTTGTATTTTTAGTAGAGATGGGGTTTCACCATGTTGGCCAGGCTGGTCTCTTGGCTACGCCCCATGATCTTGTGATCCACCCACCTCAGCCTCCCAAAGTGCTGGGATTATAAGCATGAAACAAATACCACGCCCAACCTAGGTGAACAATGTAATTTTGGGTAGTTACTGAGTGTTTCCCTCTCATGAAAAGTATTCATCATTAATGTAATAAAATTTTAAATACAGTCATGTATGGCTCTGTGGGAAAATAAAAACAAAATACCACAGCTCTTTCAAAAATGTCAGGGTGGATGCATAATTGAAGACGTCCTTTAGAGAGGGAAAGTGGGTGTTTTGGAATACAGCAAGGGAACCAAATATTTAGGGATTGTCATCCCTAAAAAGAGCCAACAGCAGGAGTCTTACGGACTTCTTCCTTCCTTTACCAAACATGAGTCAGGCTGCTCAGAGCCCTCTTCCTAACTAGGTTTTATCCTTCTCCTGCAGAGCCCAATTTCATCAAAAATCCTTCTAAAGGAGTTCAGGGAGAATCCCCCCAAAACTTGATACCCAATCGAGTTCCATTTCCTCAATCCATGATAATTCATCAAGTTTCTCTTCCCTCTTTCGAGACATTGTCTCGTTCTGTTACCCACGGTGGGATATAGTGACGTCACCTTGGTTTCTGCAATTTCCACCTCCCAAGCTCAAATGACCCTCCTAACCTCAGCCTCAAGAGCAGCTGGGACCAAAGGTGTGCACCACCATACCCCGGTAATTTTTTGTATTTTTGGTAGAGGCGGGATTTCACCATGTTCTTCAGGCCAGTCTTGAACTCCTGAGTTCAAGCAATCCACCCACCTGAGCCTCTCAAAGTGCTGGGATTAGAGGTATAAGCCACTGCACTCAGCCTCTTTTCTTAAAGTATACAGCAGCTGGGTGGGGTGGCTCATGCCTGTAATCCCAGCACTTTGGGAGGCTGAGGTGGGCAGATCGCCTGAGGTCGGGAGTTCGAGACCAGCCTGACCAACATGGAGAAACCCAGTCTCTACTAAAAATAGAAAATTAGCAGGGCATGGTGGCAGGTGCCTGTAATCCCAGCTACTCAGGAGGCTAAGGCAGGAGAATCACTTGAACCCAGGAGGCGAAGGTTGCGATGAGCCGAGATCGCACGATTGCATTCCAGCCTGGGCAACATGAGCAAAACTCCATCTCAAAAAAAAAGAGGGGTGCAGGGCTGGGCGTAGTGGCTCACGCCTGTAATTCCAGCACTTTGGGAGGCCGGGAAGGGCGGATAACAAGGTCAGGAGTTCAAGACCAGTCTGACCAATATGATGAAACCCCGTCTCTACTAAAAATATGAAAATTAGCCAGGTCTGGTGGCACATACCTGTAGTCCCAGCTATTCGGGAGCCTGAGGCAGGAGAATCACTTGAACCTAGGAGGTGGAGGTTGCAGTGAGCCAAGATCACACCACTGCCCTCCAGCCTGCGAGACAGGGTGAAATTCCAAACCACCAACAAAAGAAAAATGAAAAGAGAAAAAGCAAGTATACAGCACACGGTATTCCCAGTATTACCCTCATGCAAGTAATAACGAGACCCAATCCTGGTTAGGAAATGATATAAAAAAAGATCAGGTGCATTGAGGCTGGCATGGCCATATGCTTTTCAATGTCTTACCAGTGTGGTATCCTTTGAAACACAAAAGTTTAAAATTTAAATGCAGTCTAAATTAAATACTTTTTCTTTGTTTGTAGTGCTTGTATTGTCACATCATAGAATCTTTCCTGAATCTATGATCATGAATATTTTTGAGTGGCACACTGTAGCATCAAGAGGGTAAGATTATCCCTTGTTCCCATGGGAGAATGAGAATGGTTATTTGAATAATTCTGCAGGCTTCCATAGAATTGAAACCCAACGGCCGGGTGCAGTGGCTCATGCCCGTAATGCCAACACTTTGGGAGGCTGAGGCGCGCAGATCACAAGGTCAAGAGATCAAGACCATCCTAGCCAACATGGTGAAACCCCATCTCTACTAAAAATATAAAAATTAGGCTGGGCGTGGTGGCTCGTGCCTGTAATCCCAGCACTTTGGGAGGCCAAGGCAGGCGGATCACTTGAGGTTGGGAGTTCAAGACCAGCCTGACCAACTTGGAGAAAACCCATCTCTAATAAAAATACAAAACTAGCTGGGCGTGGTGGTGGGTGCCTGTAATCCCAGCTACTCAGGAGGCTGAGGCAGGA